CAGACCTACAAATTCAGGTCTGATGGATCGTGATTACATTCCAATCTAATAAATTATAATCATGGCAGATTAGTGTTTGAGCCTTTTATATTATAGTCTTGCTCTGTATTGTACATTGAGCTCTAACTGGATTTTATCCTCTTGGATGGAGATAGATATATATAACTTCAAGAACAGTATTGAGGAAATTTTATGACAAAGTGGAAAACTTTTATTTGTGACAATTTTTTCGTTTTGTCATACAATTTTACTCTACGGGTCCTGGAAAAATACAGGACCTTTTCCAAAGCTTAAAAAATCCTGGAATTTTCCAAATTGGATTGCCCAAACATCCTTTTTCTCAATTCAAGAAAGTCAAAATACGAAATCACAGAAATTTGAAACAAAAGGCTTCAGACACTTTCACAGGATCTCCTGGAGAGAACACAAGACAAATGACTTTGTAGAGGGTCAAGTAACAGGAGCCCCTCTTGGCAACAGTAAAGAGCAAAAATCTGTTGTGACTTGGACTTGTCATACGCCACAATATTTTACCCAAGACAGTCTTCAAGGTACCTTGGAAGGGGATAGATGTAGAGGAAAGCAGTCGAAAAGCTGGATGTTCAACAAAGAATGGACCAGGATGATGAACACTTCAATGCTGTTTCAGAAGGCAGTAAACAGATGTGATTGGCAGCAGTTGGCTGCATCATTGTCAGTCATGAGAAAGGGGGAAGGAATAAAACTAGGTTTCTCCACTAATTTGCTAAAATAAGCATACCTCTGATGAAAACGGCCTCAAACTTGATGAAAACAATTTTTTATTGCCTAAATGTTTATTCTATCAGGAAGAGGAAAGACCAAAGTACTTTTTTTGATTGTTTGTTTTTTGTTTGTTTTTTTACATTTTTAATCTTTCGTAATATGTCCAAAATTTTTTTTTGAGTCAGCAAAATTACCGGAAGTTGATATCTGCCATTTTTTTTTTAGAAATTTGTAAACAAAAGTTAAATTCTGTTTAAAAATTTTGTAAAAATCAATTATCTTTTTCAAAAGACTGAAGGACAGAAATGGCAATATTTTCGAATTTTAAGTGAACCAGCTTATTTAACTATACAGTAATTTTTAAAAATTAAATACTTTCAAAAGATTAATATTTTATTGATTTTTTTTTTTTTAAATTTTTTTTTTATTGAAGATAATTGCCAAAGTCTGCACCGTTTCTGTTCCTAAAATCAAATCAGAAACGAAAATAATTAATAATTGCAGTATGATTCTCATTAAAAAAACAAATTAGTTACATTTAAAAAATTAAATTAAAATATTTAGTGAAATAGGATGAAAGAAAGAAAATTAAAAATTTTGAAAATGTGACAATGAGGAAAGCAAAAATATTTTCCGAGGAAAGATTCTTGCTGTTAGGGGAAATAACACTTAAAAACACATAACATTTATGTCTCAAACATCCATCCATATATTTGGAAAAAAAAGTTTTTAAAACTTTTTTTGCATACTCAAAAAATATTTTATGTATATCACAGATTGTAATAAGGTTTCAAATTTATGATCTGTAAAAATAGATCTACTTAATAAGAGTATTCCCTAAAAGCACAGATTGAAACTTAATTTTAAAATTTTTAACACGTTATCACATTTTGTATTTAAAATTGGAAAAAAACAGTTCTTGTAAAAATTCATTTTTCACTGGAAAATTATTTTGGCTTTGCACAATATTGTCCTTAACATATATTATTCATAAAAGCTAGTAAAAGCTTTTCTAATTAAATAATGTCATAGTTTTATTGGATCCCCAAAAAAATACTTTGGTCTTTCCTCTTAATAATAACATAAGCATTTTAATGATAAAACTTCTTTTTTAAGTTTGGGGCCTTTTTTTTTTTTCATCATGCTATACTGTTTTTGCAGTGAATTATTAGATATACCTAAATTAGGTACTTCCACCTTTTTTGCTGAAAAAGCCCCAAACTTAATAAGATGGTTTTATTGTCAAAATATTTATTATTAAGAGGAAAGATGAAAGTATTTTTTGATTATTTTATTAAATTTTTTATCCTTTTTAGCACATTCGAAATTTTGGTTAAAAATCTTTTTTTTTTATTTTTTATTTATTTTTTTTGCATTAATGGTTGACATAATATTTAGTAGTCTTTTTTTGAAAATTTCTGTTTGTAGTTCTATTGATTAAAACCATTACACTTCACAGGAAATGTGCAGCAGTCAAGAATTTTTGTGACATTCACAAACCAGTAGTCTAGATAGCCAAAATGTGTGGCAGTAGGAATTAAAGTGTGTAATTCATAATTTTCAAGTGTAGTAAAACTCCGAACTGTGTAGAATTCTACACAAAATGTGTAACTGTTATGGAGTGGTTTCACAGTGGAGGCTTGTATTTGTACTAAGTTGGTCCTAAAATAGGTTCGACGTACAAAACGTTAGGAACTTGATATAATAGGTAATGACATGGAGAAATCTAGTTGTGGTCGCTGATACTTTAGTATCCGACTAACGGTCGTCCGGCATCGACTGACCGACCAACCCACTGAGCAACTTCCACGTTACTCTTACTACTCCTACTTATTATAGGTGGGAGAGTCTATTAACTATAGAATAGGTGTGTTCCACTATAACAGTAACATAACCAGGTCTGCTTTCAGTTAGGTTTTAGCCTATCAACACTTTGATTTCTTCACTGCTTCCAACTGATCCATGTGACATGAATTATTGGAACCAACTGTAGCTTTTCTTTGAACATCTCATCTGTTAAACTATTAAAAGATTAATCACAAAGTTTGGGTTTTTGAAATTGATGACCATTCACTTTGAAGCGTGTGTGTGCACACACACACACACAGTTTCAGTCCTTGTAATTTCTTAACATTGTCCTGGAAAAATCCTCATTGTGTTCTGTGCCATGTGCAACAAAAGTCATGAGTAGTAGGGCTAGCTAAAATGTGTAGAAAATTTTTGAAAATTTCTATTTGTAGTTCTATTGATTAAAACCATTATACTTCACAATTTGAAATTGATGACCATTCATTTTGTGTGCGTGTGTACCAGTTTCAGTCCTTGAAATTTCTTAACTTTTTTTTTTTTTTTTTTACATGATTCTATGGGAACCCTGTAGAGATCATTAAGATCCTTTCTTTAATATCATTAAGCAGGTCCTTAAGCCCTGCCCTCTCATGAATTGGAGCTTCTTTAAGTCAGTGTTTCATAACGCTCTGCTCTTAGTTTACCCTTCTGAATCTGTCGTCTATTTGGCGGCTTCTCTTCTTTAGTATCCCCTCTTGCAGTTGCCACACCAAACTACTCAAGACAAACCTTGTGCATAAACCTGCAGAAAGATCTGATCTGCTTGCTAATGTGGCCCTTTAGATGATTAGTAAGTATTAATGAGAGTTCCTGATCAAGATTCGACCAAGTAGCTCTCTGATTGCCCCTGGATTCTTGACTTGTTCAGAATTTCTCCAAGTTGGTGAGACTCAGTAATGGGATCCTGAACACTGTGGATGTAATCTGGATCTATAATCCCATCATTTGACTTACATTCTCCAATAGTAATAATATTAGATTTTTATATTTATTTAAAGGAAAAAATCTCTTGTTTTTTGTTTTATAACTAATAATTTATTGTATTTTTAATTTTATTTTAACTTTAATTTGATTTCCCTTCATTTTTTTTTTTTTTTTTCATAACCCCAACCTGGGATGGTGGAATTAAAATCTGGGTCAAGTTTGTGTTAACTCTTTTTTATTCAAGCCAGACCCTTACCATTTTACAGATTTTGTTTGGTTAACTCAATATCTTATTGTCAACAGCTGCATCTTTTTATCTTTTTAAATATTAAATTTTTAAGTTTCTATCTTTGTATCTGAACACCATTTTAGTTGAAAAATACTAGCGTCACACTAGATGAAATAGCTATTTTCATGAGGTAATTTTGGATTTCTCTGCTCTGTTACAATAAATACATTGAGCTCTTTTTGTGGATGAGTTTTAATATTTTATATTATTAGTATCCATATACTATATATTTGTTGAAATGGATAAAGTGTGTGGCTTCAAAAGGGAACTACTTCAAAAGAGATTAAATACTGAATTGATGTGTTGTAATTTTTTTTTTTTTTTTATCAAATCTCATATTATTGCATTCTGCACTAAAAAAATGAGACATATTCAATAATTATAAAAATCAAAACCAAAGGCAAATTTGTTTTGTGCCTTAATTTGATGAATAACAGTTTGAGGCATTTTTTTTCATGTCTGCTCATTTTTTATTGAATCTTTGAAGATACCTGTAATGATAAAATATAATTTATGGTTTATAGGATGAAAGTTGTAAATATCCAGGATAGAGCTTGTGTAAATAAAAGTGGTGTGAAACAGACTGTCGCCACTCGGTGTTAACATCAGTATCCACACTTCTTGTATTACTTCAAATGTTACTTTTAGTGGATATCCATAGTTGAGTTAATGCCCAGTTTATTTATTAAATAGTATTTATTTCATCTACTGGTCTGTATACTCAAGGAGACTTAATAAAAAAATGTGGCCTCCAGCAGGTTTTGAACCTTTGTCCTCCTTTACACATTTTCTTTATTAATTTTTTTCTCAAGCGTGCAGGCAAGTAGACAAAATAAATACTGTTTAAAATAAAATGCAGTGTTTACTCAAATAAGAGTATCCACTAGAAAAAAAAAATCAGGTTGTGTGTGTGTGTGTGTGTGAGACACAATGTAACCCAGGCAAAGTGGGATAATCACACACCTTACCAACAGTGACTAAAGAAAAACAAGAAGAAATGGAAGATAGTAATACATGACAATAACATATTATTAAAAAATGAATGCGCAATTTAAGTACAAGCCTGGTGTGTACTATCCTTCAACACCCTGATTGGGGGCCCCAGGCAGTGCTTTGTGAACTTTGTTACCTTATGAACATTTGCTTTTTTCAGGTGTTTGTAATTCTGTTGTTTAATTTTTTTTTTTCCTTTCAGTTCTTTGGGCTTTGACAATTTTCACTATCCAAAAGCCAAACTACACAAAACATGTCATCACTTGGTATTTATTGTAAGTATTCATATAACAATTGATCTATACAAGTAATTTTAAAACATTGTAGCTATTTAAATCATGTAATTTTATTGGTCAAGTTTAAAATAACAAAATTCTATTTCCACTACGTTATCAGACGAAAGGATGTGCAGGTGGCGCAATGATTATTGGCTCAGAATGAGAAATTGGAGAGCAGAGTTCAAATTCCAGTCAGGTTCTTTACATTCACTTACGCTCAAATACATTTAGGAAAGATATAGATCATCCATCTCTCCCCCCCCCAAGCTATGGGTTGACTAGCAGGGCAGACTGGATCCTATAGCCTTGATTGATAAACAGACTACTGCAGAAATAAATGGCAACCCAATGCGGGAAAAATTTCTGCCTAGTCAGTCATAAATCAAAAGAAAGATTATCACCCTGAGCATGTATTGCATATGATATTTAACTTCTTGCTTTTCCTTATGCTTATCCAACACAACACAGTAACCCTCTACCTTGAGTGGCTCTTTATACATCAGTATAAAAAAAATTCTTTTATTGCTAGTTTATCCTCATACCATAAAATGACAGCAGATACAAAATGTTTTTCCTGTTATTGTACAGATTTCTTTCATGGAGATTTTTAACCATTCCAGCTTGCTCAAGATCTTTGAGCAGTCTACCATTGAGTTATCTCCCTTGTAGATATTTTCTCACCATCTAAAATTATATGAACATTTTTTTTTTTTTTTTTTTTTTTTCTGATAATTATTAACTTGATTTATTTGTTTTTCAGAGTTACATCTATCATTGTGACTATATTTGAACTGTTATGGGTTCTAAACAACTTGTCTTGTTTTAGGTAAGTAAATCAATATCTTCATAAAAACTGAATGCTTACATTTGTTCATGTATCCTTTGTGGAATTACCCCACTTGTCTGCCAAAGAACTTTAGCTGATGACTGGTAAATGATATCATCAATAGCAATATACAGAGTGCAGCAGAAATACCTCTCACATTTTAAAGGTTGACAAAAACACCAAGGTAACTGCTATTAAAATATTATTTCACTGTTGTTTAAACAAAAAGCTACAGTTTTTATTCATTTTGTTTTAACAATAACATCCTTCAAATGCTGGCCTTTATTTGCCATAAACTGTTGTAAAAGATTTTGTTTAAGATCTTTCAGGTAACTTTCTTTTAGACACTGAATCTGTAACCTTGAAATTTTGAACCCATAGCAGTATTCATTTACTATCCAGAATAGCATCATTCTGATGTTATGAAATGATCATGAAAAGCTCCAAGTATTGCAAATACAGATTCACCAGTCTTAAAACAAAAAAAACGTTTTAATAGCAAATGCACAGTGTGCACTTGCCCAAGCCATGATGGTAATTGATGGTATCTGAAAAAGAAAAGAAAAATTGGTAAGACATTAGCTAGATAAAGTCATCATTGTCTAAGTTCATTGTCACCACACAAGTGACAGTTTAAGATGTGGCAGGTATATTTCTGTTGCACTCTGTATAAGAAATTTTTTTATTTTTTTTATTTATTTATTTTTTTTTTTATTTATATTTTTTTTTTTTAAAGCTACTTTTCTCATTTCCTTTCCTGGGCTGAACCCGTTTCCCAGATTGAACATAACAAAGCATACAAATACCCTAATGGGTACTCCAACATGGTTAGCAAGCTTGTCTTGCTAGATCAATTATGACAGGATAGTGAGTTTAATCCTCACTGGGTGCCACATACTCCTGGCCTTGTGTCACATCTAAACTATGCTTATAAAATCACTAAACTTACTTGACTATACACAGACATAACTAATGATTCTACCAAACCAACAAAAAAAAAAATCACTTCTTTAAATGTAAATCTTGTGCCAGTTTATATACATATCTCTACACATGCCTTTTTCATGCCTTTTGTATTCTATTTAGTTTTGCTAAGGCAATAAAATCTGTTCTTGTAAAATTTATGCAGTTATTTGCATATTAATTCTCATTCTCTGATTTGGGGAAACTTTCCTGAATCCACAATTCTATTAACAGACATTGTCGATAGGATGTTTAGTAACATATCATTTCTGCAAATTGCTGATAACCACAATGCCAGCTATTGTTAATAATAACAAAGATTTTGATTTTTTTTTTTTTTTTTTAAGTTTGGGGCATTTTTTCATCATGTCTGCTCATTTTTTATTGAATCTTTGAAGATACCTGTAATGATAAAATATAATTTTATGGTTTATAGGATGAAAGTTCTCAATGTCCAGGATAGAGCTTATATAAATAAGAGTGGTGTGAAACAGACTGTCGCCACTCTGTGTTAACATCAGTATCCACACTTTTTGTATATCATTTGTATTACTTCAAATGTTACTTTTAGTGGATATCCATAGTTGAGTTAATGCCCAGTTTATTTATTAAATAGTATTTATTTCATCTACTGGTCTGTATACTCAAGAAGACTTAATAAAGAAAATGTGGCCTTCAGCAGGATTTGAACCTTTGTCCCCCTTTACACATTTTCTTTATTAATTTTTTTTTTCTCAAGTGTCAGGCAAGTAGACAAAATAAATACTGTTTAAAATAAAATGCAGTGTTTACTCAAATAAGTCTCCACTAAAAAAAATCAGATTAAAACTAACATCCATTAATTTTTTAGAAATATATTGTGTGTGTGACACAATGTAACCCAGGCAAAGTGGGATAATCACACACCTTACCAACAGTGACTAAAGAAAAACAAGAGGAAATGGAAAACTGTAATACATGATAATGACATAAATTGCTCATTCATTTTTTAATATTAAGTACAGACCTGATGCGTATTATCCCTGGACACCCTGATTGGGGGCCCCAGACAGTGCTTTGTGAACCTTGTTATTTTTGTCAACATTTGCTTTTTTTTTTCTACCCACATTTATATACATTATAAATGAAATTAAGCAGAACTGACAATTAAAGAATGAAAAAATTTGGATTTTGGCATCATTTTGGGTTCCTCACCCCACCCTGCCCCCAAATCCGTGAATTTATTTTGCTCATGCTATGTCTTGAAAAAAAAAAAATACAATGTAAAACTCACTATTTTTTATCCATATTGTTGAATGTGTTAACATTATTCAACTTTTTAACAAGAATCTCACGTTGATCAAAATAAATCAATTTTTTGCAGCAATGATCTTTTGACATGTCACTAATTTGTATTTAGATGCATTGTATTTATTTTCAGTTTTTCTAATTGAAATGTTGCATATGATCCATTATTGTTCATAATTAGGTTACAGTAAAATTTGTATTCTATATGAATACTACCTTATGAAAACTAAAATGAAGTATAGTGGGGCACCCCTGTATCATACATGGGGGGTATCATAGATAGTGGGGCCTGTACCAGTCCTGATTAAGTACATTGGATAAATCTTTTGTTTCACTTTATATGAATTTCTGAGTCTTGTTTCACTTTATATGAATTTCTGAGTCTTGTTTCACTTTATATGAATTTCTGAGTCTTAGGTATAAAATCCATATAATCAGGTGAAAGAGTTAAAAGAAAAAAAAATTTATAGATGAAGGAAACCTTGTCATTAATTTTTGAGTAATTTGTTTTCATCCTTTTAAAAAATCTGCATTTAATTAATAAATTTGCATTAGTGCAGGTTTCCCCAAGGGCTCTCTCTTTGGACCTATATTGTTTCTAATTTTCATCAATGACTGTCCCACCATCATCAGTTCTCGACTTTGTATCTATGCTGATGACACTTTTGTCTTCATAAGTGTGATCAGTATGATAACATCAAATTGGCAGCTGATCTCAAAAATGACATACAATCTGTCATTAATTGGAGCAAGAAATGGCTTGTTAATTTTAACGCCTTCAAAATGAAGCTGCATTCTATCAATCATCTGAGAGACTCCTTTATGCCTTCTATCAATCAACATGTCTGATATGTTAACCTCCCAGAGAGTGACTCATTGTGTCTTCTATGGCTAACATGAAGTAGAAAGATTATATTAAATCAATTGCTAGTTTTGCTGCCAGAAAAGTTTGTTCACCATTTTGTTCTAGACAATTTTTCTCACCAGAACCTATCTTAATATATTCATAAGTCTACCATCTATCCATGCATTGAATATTGCCACTGCTATATATTCAGAGATTCTTTATAAAATCCAAAGAACAATCTGCAATGTTATTGATCCTGACCTGGCATCTCTGTTTCATTACTGAAGTGAAAGGACAATAAAAAGAACAGGATTCAAAGAAACAAAAGATGTTGCATTTAAATTTTCAAAGGTCACAGTTGACAAGGAAACACAAATATGGAAGAGAGTTCTATAGGTGAGAAATGCTAAAGAAACTATTAGCATAGAACTGGCAATTTGAAGAATAAAATTGTAAAAATATTTATAGAAGAAACACACGGAAGTTAACAAAAGTGCCTATCTGAGCAAATATATTTATCATAATTGTTAACTTAGTGTAATGAGCTCAATCCTCATTGGGCACTTTATTATAGTCATTCTTTGCAAAATGAAACTAAGGTTGACAAATTATGTACATGAGGATGGGTCAATAAATCTATATTGCTGAACAGTTACAATTTGAATTTTGATTTGAAATTTTCATTGTATTGCGTTTGATCTGTGATTAACTTGTTTATGAAATACATGCACATTTTGAGCATTGCCTCTGACATGTAAATCCACAGAATGGATGCATCTGTGGTAATATTGGCCTTTTCCTGATAAGGAAACATTCAACATTTATTGACTGAGCAGCTGTTTTCAGTTGAAATTTCTAAAATCCTTCTCTTAAACCAATTTTTCAGGAAAACTGTTTTTTCAAGTCCAGTAGCTATTACCACTCTTTCCAGTATTAATGAGGTGTGTGGGAGGGGGGTGTCATTATTTTCTCTCCAAGTTAGATGTGCTATCTATTTTAGTTGTTGCTGCTGTTGAAAGTCCTCAAGTGATGTGGTTTCTGTTTATTCATACAGTTCTTTGTTTGTGATTCTGTAATGCCAGTCTGCAAGGATCAAAGAAGGATGGTCCTCGCTAAGACCTACAGGCTTCATTCAAAGCCATTTTTAACTATTGACCTTAGAAAACAGTTGTCTACAGCTGACAGTTTAGATATTTCTTAACCGATTTGGCACTATGCATGTTACCCATATGAGCGTCTTGATCTGACAAGGTTATTTGACAACATGGCTTGATTTTTCAAATTAACGTTTTGGCTTTGTAGCATTGTGTGGTATTGGGTGAAACTACCTCTAGGACAGTTTATTCTATGTTCAATTTCCTTATCTTCTATACTAAATTTTTTATAACTGATCCGTATGCCGAGGTATTTGTAGTGTTTAGTATTTACTAAATCTACATCCTGAAGTTTTATGATGGATTCAGTGTATATGTGATGAGTACTTTTATTACAATTCTGGATGACAGTTACTGTTTAGTACTGGTTTCAAGCTAGTTTCTTGGAACACTTAGAGGATGTTGATTTTTCTTATCCCAACAATGAATACCTATGTCATCATAATTGGCCTCGGGAGAGTAACAGAATCTTTGTCTTCTATTGGTAGATTTGGTTGGGATATGGTATTGAATGCTTAAATGATCACAGCCCATCTCTTCACATGGGTCTTACTTTGTTTCTAATTGACATTAACAATCTTCCCGATGACATCAGCTCTCAGTTTCGTATCTATGCTGATGACACAACCATTTACTCCTGTCTTAATAGTAGGTCTAATCAGTTTGATAAGGTCAAAAACAGCTTTCAGCCTGTTGTTAACTGGGACAAGGAATAGCATGTTAATTTTAATGCCTCCAAAAGTAAACTGCTCCTTATTAATCATTTGAGAGACCCCTTTCTGCCTTCCATCACCATGGCTGATGCTACCCCCCCACCCCCATGAAAGTGACTTGTTGCACCTTCTCTGGTTAACATGAAGTGAAAAGACTATATCAAAGTCAGCTGCTATGAAAGTAGCTTCACTGTGTCATGCTAGAGAATTTTTCTCTCCAAAATCTATAACTATACATATCTATAAATCTACCATTCGTCTATACTTAGAATATTGCTGCCACATATGGTCTGGCATTCCTGCTATATATTTAAAGATTCTTGATAAAATCCAAAGAATAATCAGCAATATCATTGGTCCTGATCTGGCATCTCAGCTTCAGTCACTTTCCTGCCATTGTAAAGTTGCCTCCCTTTGCTTTTTTTTTTATAAATACTTCAATGGTAACTCTTTGGGCGAGCTCTTTGCTATGTTACCTAGACTTATTTAAGTGCAGTACTAGACTGGCATCGAGGTCTCATCAATTTACAACTGACATGGCTAAATGTAACTAAGTTCTATACTAACAGAAAAATTTAAATCCTATTGTTTTTGCTCCTTAATAATGTTTCTGTTTTCTAATTCTCCCATACCCACTAACCCCTTGTCTCTTAGTGGCTTTACTGCCTTACTTGGGGTGATCTTAATTTTGAAAAAAAAAAAAAAAAAAAAAAAAAAAAGATTTACAGTTACAAATTTTTGGTTGAAACCTTTTTATATAGGTATATGGAATGCTTTATATGAGTTATAGTAATTTAATTGTTTAATTATCTTTTTCCCCCTCCTCCAGAGAAACTGGTTGCTGTTATTGCAAATGTTGGAAATATTTCATGATGGTTTCTAATTGGAGAAAAGGTGTTTTATATATTGTATTGGCTATTCCAACATTTTGGATTGAACAAAATTACATTCAAAGTATTATTATAGGTAAGTACTTATAAAGTTAACTTAAAAAGTAATTTTCTTTTGAGTTTTATTTTCCCTTCTCCACTTTGAACAAGCTGATAAGGATAAATGGTAAAAAAATTTGGAAATTTTTTTTTTTTTCTCCATCTTTTAAAATGACTTTTGTCCAGAACGATTTTTTTTCTTTTTTAAGGGAACTAAATTTGGTGCAGTACATAGAATAGCAAAATACCAATGTTTATTGAGTTTACAGTCATATCATGTTGAAACCCCAGTTATTGTCTGATCACCAAAGTTAAGCAACATTGAGTTTGGTCTGTACCAAAATTGGTGACTGCTTGGGAATAACATGTGGTGTAATGGATAATGGCTCAGAACAAGAAATCAAGGAGCAGAGTTTGAATTCCAGTTGGGTTTTTTTACATTCACTTAAATGCAAATACCCTTGGGAGAGATATGGAGATTTACTAAGTGCAGCTTAGATGTGGCACAAGGCCGAAAGTAAGGAGCACTCAGTGATAGTTGACCTAGCAAGACAAACTTGCTGTTATACCACAATGAAAAATGGGATTAGTTCTCTCCTGATACTGTCCCTTAAGAAGGACAGTAAATACAAAAATAAACTAACCAAAAGACAATGTGAGACTTCCGAAACAGAAAGTTAAAATGAAATATCAGGAAAAAAAACAAAACAATTTCCAACTTTCATAGTTATCGAATCAATGGATGGTTAAATAACAAGTGTCACCTTTTGTGTTGCATAAGGTTATATCGGCTGTGATAGAACCAAAATCTGTATTAAAAAAAAAAAAACGCATTTCTAATTCAGGTAAAAACCAAAAAAAGATGCAGAAAATTTACTAAAAATCAAGTAAATAAACAAGTAAAGGCTTACCCCCACTAATTCCTTAATTTATCTAAGGGAGTAATAAAATGCCCAGAACTGTCACTCTGCTCACCAGAAGAAATTAAAAATGATGACACCCTAAAAAAAAGCAAGGAATGACAGACATCGCAGGAATTCAAATAAAAAGAAATAAACACAAATACATACATTTTGACATTCAACAAACCAAAAGAAATGAAGATAGGATACACAATATCCAAGATAGGGCCATATATTGCTAATCGCTGTAGATGTCAAAAATTTGGTAATCTACAAAATCATAGTACAAGAGCATCAGCCTGTCAAAGACATGGGGAATTTGAGTCTGATCATGAAGAGTCACCCTGTGAAAGGCCTCCTTAATGTCCAAACTGAAGAAAAAAACCAACTCAGCAGATTTTAAAGAGTGTAACATCTGGAACAAGGAAAAGGAAATCATAAGAATAAAATACATGCAAAACATTTCATTCCAAGAAGCCAGAAAACAGGTTGAAACAAATTCACTTCCAACATCCTATGCAAATATTGCTAAAATATCGAATCACCAAAATGACATCCAAGAGAACAATGCAATAAGAAGCCAAGATCTTACAACTCTAATAAATGAATTAAAAAATCTAATGGAACTACTAAAATGTAGTATATCACACACAGACCAAACTTCCATAGTCAAAACAAATCCTATCCCGTCAACCTCAAACAAAAAAGAATCTGTAAGTACAAAACAAATAACTCCAAAAATCTCAATCCAAAGTACAAAAATCTTTCAAGAACCCTCGTAATATTCACAAGAGAATCAAAGAACCAAGAGAAATGGATATAGATGAACAAAATTCTATCCCATCTCAAACAAGAGAATGGTCATCATCCAGATAAAGATTGTCAAAAGAAATATGAAAAAACAAAGGAGACAAGATAGAACAAACAAGCAGAAATAAAAGACCTTGAAAGGACAAAACATGACAAGAAAGAAAGTGCTGTTGGGTTTAGGGTTATATTATAATAAAGAGAAAGAACAGTAAGATATATAATCTCATGTTCTTATTAATATTTTTATTTTTACAAAACAATGCTCAATGCAAATCTACAGAGCATAAATATTAGAAATTTACTAATATACTATTGTATCAAAATATGAGTTACTTTTGAAAGAAGTTAAGTCAAGATAGGGTAAGGGTGCCTTTTCCAACTCAATGATGACATCCGTTAAACGCATGTCATCTGGTCTTTATCGACAACAAAAAGTTTTTCAGCACTTTTTTTTTTTTTCCACCGTTAAATTTGTATTTGTATACATAAAGATTTTCTCTAAAAGGGTTGTTTGTATATGAATACGTCATATTGAACTATTATATTATTTTTAATTACTAATAGACTGTACTTCTTTTAAAGCATATAAATGTAATAATTATTAATTTATACATATTTACAATACTGTCTAAAACTCAAATGCTGCTCATCCCTGTACCTTCGACCCTAAATACAAATTTCTGTTTGATAAAGAAAATGCTATCAAACCTTTTGGCTTTTACATGAAAAAATCTCATCAGTGAAACACAAATCCAAACCTAATTCTTAAAACCACCAACTCAAAAAACCCACCCTGGTTAATGAAATTCCCTATGATTTTGCTAAATTTTACTAAATACCCTAAAATTAATTCTATCTGATTACATGTAAGAAATTCATAATGTTCTACAAGCTCACCCAAATCATAAGCTTATATACATTGATGGCGCTAAAATCTTGGACAGAGTTGGATGCTCTGCTATCCTTAACAACATAACAATGCAGAAACAATTACCTGACAAAGCCTCAGTCTTCAGTGCAGAAGCCTCAGCCATACACTTGGCTTTAAATATTATAGAATCCTGTGGGTCAGATAGATTCATCATCATCTTAGGTTCACTATCCATACTCACAGCTCTGAAAAATAAAATCATGGGAAACCTCTTAATAAATAAGTTATTAAATAGGGTTGACTCTATAAGGAAAAAGATGCTGTAATAGTCCTATACTGGATACCAAGCCATATTGGCATACAAGGAAATGAAAAAGCTGACAAAATGGTAAAGGAATTGCTGAACATTGGTAAAGGTGCCACACACTGACTTCTGACCCAGCATAAACAGGACTATTAAAGAAAAAATGGCAGCAATTATGGAACAACTGTGTAAACAATAAACTTAACAGCATCCAACCAATCATCAATGAAACATGGTCAAGTTCCAGAAAGATAAGAGAGGAGGTGGTTCTAGCTAGAATCTGTATAGGACACACATACATAACCCATCAGCATCTACTAAAAAAAAAAAAAATGAGGAACTGCCAATGTGTGTCCCATGCCAGGAACTATATACCATCAAACACATTCTACTAAATTACTGTAACTTCCAGTAAACCGAAATCAAACTCTACAAATTGGATTATTTAAAGGATCTATTTGAAAATACCGATCCAAGCAACATCATAAATTCTATTGAAGAAATTGGGCTCTACAGGAAAATATAAAAGAAAACTGTTTATCAAATCTGCTTACCTACATTGTAACCAATTTTGGAAGGAAAATTTTTACATTGAATCATTACAGGTGACAAGAAATGGATGCTCTTTGACAACAGTAAGAGTGCAGGCCAGTGGTTAGATGAAAATGAATCACCAAAACAGTACCCCAAAAAGTTAGTGGTTACTGTATGGTGGTCTTTCAGAGAGGTTATTCATTATTGCCTCGTAGGAAAACAATAACATCAACCTTGATTGATGATGAGGGATGGCCCAATTTTGCTGCACAACAACACACAGCTTCTCAATCAACTGTCCAAAAGCTACATGGCCAGAATTATGAAATTTTGCCTCATCCTCCATATTCACTTGATATCTCTTTTACTGATTATCAATTAAGCATTTTGAACTTTTCATATGCAATAAAATAATCAAGGCATTTGAATAGTTTATCACATCGATCTTTCAGGAATAAAAGCAAACTACTTTTAACCTACAGATAAAAAAAATTTGTTTTTGAAGAAGAGACAACAGAAATGAGGTTCTACAGAAGGATGCTGAGAATACCATGAACAGAGCATGTAATTGACTTGAACATGTAATGGTGGATGTTGAAGTTGGGAGGGTAAGAAACAGGCCATCTACCCGACAAGCTTGCGTGAATAGATGACAAAACAGAGTGGGAGGGATAGCAAAAAGACAAACATTACTAAGAACTTGCAAGGATGTTGTGGAGAGTCAGGATCACCCACATCTTGAATGTTTTTGTTTAATAGCATATTAACCTGTATGGGTTATTTAATGCCAAAATAAAACATTTCATGCAAAATATTTATATTTTTTTGGTAATAATGGTTTAGTGATAAGTCTTACTAATTAACCCATAGGTGGAGGGAGAAGAGGTGAACTCATGCCTTTCCCAAAGGTACTTACATGTAAGTGAATAATATTGAAACAAACTGGAATTGAAACTGCTTTCAGATTAATAATTCTGAGCAATTATTCATTATATCACCTTGCATATCCAAGCTTACAGCATTTGGTATTGTCAAATGGTCACCCATCTAGTTACTGACCAGGCTTGATGTTGCTTAACTTCAGTGATAATACAAGAATGAGTGTTTCAATGCTATAATAATTTATAATTAATCGTCACAGAAATTTTTGTCCTTAAAATTTGTAATGTCTCAATTATACCTTTAATTATTTAAAACTATTTACATTCAGACTATTGTCCTCATCTTTGTTGTTATTATCAAAATGCTTTGGCTGTTGTGCCCACCAACCTTCATAAGGCCATCCTTAGTATGATGATCAACTACATCAGTGTCCTGGGTAAGATGATCAACTACATCTTCCAGCAAGGCCTTTGATCAGGTTTTGAGGAGCATGAAACTACCTATTAATTGCTGATGTTCCCAGGTCTGCTCTGACCCAGAGTTGTAGACCGTCAGAGTATCAGCTATGGGCAAATAGTTTACCCCCCCCCCTCACAAAGGGATCAAAACATTATAAAAATTGGTTTTAATACCAGTAATACATTTTTGAAAAAGAAAAATATTACCAGCAATAAAAATCTTGTTGGCATTAAATAACCCATTATGGTTGATATGCTGTAAAACAAACCAAACCTTCATAAGGACTATATTGATCCCATTTATTTAATTTATGGGGGTGGGGAGGGGAAGGGATGTTCTTGTTCCACTACCCATTTCTAGAGATATCTTATCTAGTTCTTATTTTAAGTAATGCTCAGTTATTGCTTGCCTTGTGTTCAGCGAGTTCAAGTACTCGCTGACTGGACTAGAGATTGAACTTTGTCATTTTTGCTAGCATGCTTAAAACTAATAATTGTTTTCTCTTGCAGGAATAATGCTGACTGTCAGTGGTGTCTTTTACATTCTTATGAGCATCTTACCTTTATTCTATCGAGAAAAGAAAGCAACACCTGAACAATATGTGCTGAACCCAACCCCTAATGTTAAGCTGGTTTCCCAGGAAGTAGCAACACAGACTGACAGTTCATATTATGCCCACATTTATCCACCGTCACCTCCACAGTATGAGGAAAATGTCGATACAGTTGCACTTCCACCAGAGCTGAAGTGATGGTTAAGAAAAGGGATATAACTGGGTTTGATATTTTAGTTATCTCCCTTTTTTATTATTACTGTTAATTTTTGATAACAGATCTAAAAATCAACTTTTCCCTACTTAAAAAAAAAAAAAAAAAAAATTTTTTTAAGTAATAATGAAATTATTTTATCACAATGTTTTCTTTTTTTTAAAAATGCTATGTCCATTAATTAAGCAACAAACTGGAAATAAAAAATAAGCTTCTAATAGGCAGGATCTGAGTTTAATTTCTGACATAAATATCACCCCAACAATTTGGTTCTGAAAACCATTAACTAAATTTCAATCTTCACCTCATATCATTTTAATCCTGTAGAATTTTTAATTAAGTTGGAAAAATCTTTCGAGAAAATAAGATTTTTATTTTCAGAATTTTATGGACTTTAATAGCGCCTGTTGTAAATACTTATCTGTTGAGCAAAACACAGTTATAAAACACAAAATGTTTTTACAATGATTCTTTTCTGGCTAAATATTTCCCTCTAAAATACAAAAATATGCCAATAATAAAATTTTAAAATCATCTGTCAGTGAAAACCAAACATTTTAATTTTGGACAGGATACTAAAAACTTATTTTACTCTTGTAAAAATAACATTTTATATTTTGTGTGAAACTTTATTGCCCAAGAGAGATTCTGAATATAAATATGTCTAATTTTTCTAGATTTGGCATATTTCCAGTTAGATTCTACAGGACTATATATATATATATATATATATATATATACACACACACACACACACACACACAGCATTAATGAAAAAATTTTTTTTTGAATATTTTTAGATGACATATTGTCATTACATTTTTTTGTGTGGTTTTTGCTATATTCAGTTTGTAAGAAAACTAGTCAAAAAAAAAAAACTAAATGCTTCAAGATTATTATATCAGAAACTATGCAGTGTAAAATAATTTTTAGTTAAGGACGAATATGACTGAATTTGAATGTTATTTTAATTGTTCTTTTATTATCCTCTCTCCTTAATAGTAGTTTTTTTCTCTAATACTCAGTAACCCCTAGTGGCCTTATTGCCTTGCTTGGGGTGAAATGATTAAAAAACAGTAGTCTGCTAGTTAAGACTTTACCTATTCAGCTATCAAAGCTGTCTTCGTCACACAGTCCGACAAGGACAGAGAATGCAAATTCAAATCTTATTGAAAACTTATTCTTTCATTCTGTTCCCATGTTGCTTGCTTAGTAGCTTTAGAAGGTAAAAAAAAAGTAATATAAGAGATTTTTGATAAAAAGCAACAATAATATAATGAAAGATGAAAAATCATTTTTAACTTAAGAAATTCAGACACCTTAAGGCAATACAATATCGCATAGTGAACATAAAATGACTGTATTTCTTAATTTTTAATACATCTTATCTTCTTCAGGTCTTAAAGATTAAAAAAGGTTTCTTCCTTTGTGTAGGTAAATGTACTAAGAACAAAGTGACAAAAAAGAAAAAACAGTCATTTACTTCCATTAAAATCATCATCTTAAACATTTCATTTCATATTTAACGAGTTTACCTATGCTGTCAAAGAAGAAAAGAAAAAGCAATATTTAATTTTTACAATTTTGTTCTGCATTTTTTGTTTATACTCAATACTTCCTGATTAAGAATTGAAGTTATTACACCGCAAAAAAAAAAAAAATCTGTAGTCATCTGTAAATTGCCTTGGTGTTATGCACAGCAAAGATTGTATTTAAAAGGAGCAAATTCTAGGAACTTCAGATTTTAAGGCAAGAAGTTTTTGTTAATTCATTTCTAGTAATGTTCAAGTATGATAATTAAGTAAATGTTATTAGCAAGTCTCTTAATGAATGGATTGTCATTCTACAACACTCAGCATAGAAACAAGACTTGTGTGTGTGTGTATATGTATATATATATATATATATATAAAAAACAAAAAATCTCCAACAGTAGTTATTGGTAGATACTCATGAAATAGTTTAAAATAAAAATGGGACATCTATTTCAAATATGAGTATAACAACATTTGAAGTAATTGTGGAGAGGGGAGAGGAGTCTGATAAAAAAAATTATATGTGTGTTAAAATGCTGAACATCCAGGATAAACTGTATGTCAAGATAAGCAAGTTGAACACAGATCAACACCAAATGGTGACAGTCTGCTTCATGAAAAAGTGCTCAAAACAGTAAATCTACATAAACTTTGTTGGTGACATTTTCATATTAGCAATAAATTACAAACTTAGTCAAGTATGGTGGGGAGGGGCACAAAACTCTGTAATAAAATTGTCATATGAATTTGGTATTAACAATGAAATTTCATTCTTCAACATTTATTTAGAACACTTCTGCCTCTTAATAGTGAATTCTAACAAAGAAAAAAAAATATTAGCTTGCAGTGATTTAAAAACAACCCTTCATAAATCAAGCACATCCTAACTGCCACTTTTCAGACAAAAAAAAATTTTTTTTAGTGAACTCGAACATAGGAAAATTATTATTGATAACCAAATAAAATTGTTCATACAGAAATTAAAGAGCACTGATACCAAAAACATACAACACATTAATATTATTCATACTATTTATATTCAAACTATTGTCCTCATCTCTGTTGTTATAACATTTCAGCCGTTGTACCCTCTGGCCTTCCTCAGGTGTATATTGATCTGGGTAACCTACAGGAAATTCTGAACTGAAGTTTATTTAATCGCTAGAAGTAAACTGTTCTCATTCCACTGGTCTAAATAAAGGTTTCAGTTCAGAATTCCCTACAGGATACCCAGATTGATATATACACCTGAGGAGGGTACAATAGCCAAAATGTGATAACAAAAATGAGGACAATAGTCTGAATATTGTAAATGATAAGACCTCATCTCAGAAACTCAGACAGAAACTATTAATATCTTTTACAGCAACCAGATACACAAAAATTATGAAAATGGATTCAGTATTCAACAATAGATTTCACCTATTGACCCCAGCAAACTTAAAAACTGCCAACCTCATAATTATCAAGAACATGTCTATCAAATCTAAACTCGAATGGAGTCTATCAATTTTGCTTTCCTGTAAAAGACTGCATGTCTTGTAATAAACCAAATGACCACATAGGATATATGTCATTATTAGTAAGTCAAGGATTGACACCTTTTAAGTAATCTCAGTACCATAAAAAAAAAAACATGAGATAAATGTTGTATAAAACACTGTCATTCTAAGGTAATGTAATCGTAAAAGATGGCTTAAACTGCTTCAATTATCTGAAGACAAGCAGACTTTCAATTGTTTTTTTTTTAAGAAAATTATTAACAATGAAGTCCTTGGAAATGAGTAGTAAATTGTCCAAAAGTGCTTGGGACACTAATCACTATGGACAGTTTCAAAATTCTGTTAGTCCTCATACAAGAGAAGCTGTAAGAACATTAAATTAAAAATAAAAAAACTGAATAATAAAAAAATTTTGTCATGATTTTTTTTTCATCTGTCACATTTAATGAAACATGTATAAAATAAAGTTTGCTGCTCAAGTATACAATATATGCATTTCTATAGAATCAAGGGATTTTCTTTATTCCTTACTACTGTAATTATTTTTGTGGATATGGATTTTTTTTTTTTTTTTTAAATGGTTAGTTGTGTGTTTTAATTCTTTCAAAGGAGAAACTGCCATCTGATCTAGCATGCTTTTATTTTTGCTGGGTTGTGATGCTTTGTGGTTGAGCAGTCTAATCAGACAGTTCCATCCCCCTTTGTAGGAGAAACCACTATTTTCTTTTTAAGTGTCAACCATTGGCCAGCAGATGTAATTCAACTGTTTAAGTTTTCATAAACAGTGAAAAAAGAAAAATCCAGGATGTCTACTCAAACATGTGTATCCAGAAAATAATGTTTGTGAGATATATATATATATGTGTGTGTGTGTTTATATGTTTATTCAAAATTATTACATGCATATATTATAATTTTGAATAAATATTATTTGCTCTACTTGGTACTGAGCACTCTTAAGAATAGTGTTTTTGATTATCGGAATTTTTGATCTGTACCAACCTTGTACTTGGAGGTTTTTAACAAACATAGTGAATTTTATAATTCTGTCCTTAGAAATAGAAGTTATAAAGATACCACTACTGAATATAGAAATCCTATTAATTATGACCACAATAAGACTTCCTTTATCAACCTAATCATTAAAACTAAACTAGGACATTTTGAATAAATACTATTTGCTCTACTCTGTATCGAGCACTCTTAAGAATAGTGTTTTTGGTTACTGGAATTTTATTGTCTATACGAATGTTATACTTGGATATATATATATATAAGGACTAAGCTTTTGCCCTTGTCCCCCAAGGTTTGATAAAGATACTTTGGCAAAGGACCTGAAATCCTTCTTCAGAAGAAGATGGCTAAAAGCCCACTACAGGGACAAGAATCACACACCTTCCATACTTGATACATTAAAAGAGAACTCTGCATTCACCCCACAAAACAAGGACATTACTATACAGACATCTGAAATGGCAGTAGCAAATGACAAAGAAAACAATAGCACGTAAGCTGCCACATAACAATATGACTGAAGTAGAACGGGTAACCCTTGACACGCTGACCCAGAGATGATCTAATCATAACACAGGCTGACAAAGCGGGTGCCAGTGATCTGGGGAATCAAAAATTACATTAAAGAGGCCAACAGTCAGTGTGCTGACAAAGATACCTACAAAATCTTATCTACAGACCATCATCCCAAATACCGAAAAGAATTAACTAGCTGACTAAACATGATGTCTTGCAACAATCTAACCGTAAAGGAAACATGCACAACACTTACACCCACAAACATCATACCTGCTCATTTCTATCTCCTTCCCAAAATACACAAAAGCAACAACCCAGGAAGGCCAGTCATTTTAATCATTCAACTGTGTTGAATACTTTCAACTTCAATGGAGCACACTACCTGCAAGTAAGAGGCTGTGCCATGGGCACCAT